TGTTGGGTTTGTTGGGTTTGGTGGGTTTGGTGGGTTTGGTTGTTGGGTTTGGTGGGTTTGGTGGGTTTGTTGGGTTTGTTGGGTTTGTTGGGTTTGGTGGGTTTGTTGGGTTTGTTGGGTTTGTTGGGTTTGGTTGTTTTGATGGGTTTGTTTGTTGGGTTTGTTGGGTTTGGTGGGTTTGGTGGGTTTGGTGGGTTTGGTGGGTTTGTTTGTTGGGTTTGTTGGGTTTGTTGGGTTTGTTTGGTTTGTTTGGTTTGTTGGGTTTGTTGGGTTTGTTGGGTTTGTTGGGTTTGTTGGGTTTGGTGGGTTTGGTGGGTTTGTTGGGTTTGTTGGGTTTGGTGGGTTTGGTGGGTTTGGTTGTTGGGTTTGGTGGGTTTGTTCTTTGGGTTTGTTGGGTTGTTGGGTTTGGTGGGTTTGGTGGGTTTGGTGGGTTTGTTTGTTGGGTTTGTTGGGTTTGTTGGGTTTGTTGGGTTTGTTTGGTTTGTTGGGTTTGTTGGGTTTGCTGGGTTTGTTGGGGTTTGTTGGGTTTTGTTGGGTTTGTTGGGTTTGGTGGGTTTGGTGGGTTTGGTGGGTTTGTTGGGTTTTGGTGGGTTTGTTTGTTGTTGGGTTTGTTGGGTTTGTTGGGTTTGTTGGGTTTGGTGGGTTTGTTGGGTTTGTTGGGTTTGGTGGGTTTGGTGGGTTTGTTGGTTTGTTGGGTTTGTTGGGTTTGGTGGGTTTGGTGGGTTTGTTGGGTTTGTTGGGTTTGGTGGGTTTGTTGGGTTTGGTGGTGGGTTTGGTGGGTTTGGTGGGTTTGTTGGGTTTGGTGGGTTTGGTGGGTTTGTTGGGTTTGTTGGGTTTGTTGGGTTTGGTGGGTTTGGTGGGTTTGGTGGGTTTGGTGGGTTTGTTGGGTTTGGTGGGTTTGGTGGGTTTGGTGGGTTTGTTGGGTTTGTTGGGTTTGTTGGGTTGGTGGGTTTGTTTGTTGGGTTTGTTTGGTTTGTTGGGTTTGTTGGGTTTGGTGGGTTTGGTGGGTTTGGTGGGTTTGTTTGTTGGGTTTGTTTGGTTTGTTTGGTTTGTTGGGTTTGTTGGGTTTGTTGGGTTTGTTGGGTTTGTTGGGTTTGTTTGGTTTGTTTGGTTTGTTGGGTTTGTTGGGTTTGTTGGGTTTGGTGGGTTTGTTTGTTGGGTTTGGTGGGTTTGTTGGGTTTGGTGGGTTTGTTGGGTTTGGTGGGTTTGTTGGGTTTGTTGGGTTTGGTGGGTTTGGTGGGTTTGGTGGGTTTGGTGGGTTTGTTTGTTGGGTTTGGTGGGTTTGTTGGGTTTGTTGGGTTTGGTGGGTTTGTTGGGTTTGTTGGGTTTGTTGGGTTTGGTGGGTTTGGTGGGTTTGGTGGGTTTGTTGGGATTGTTGGGTTTGTTGGGTTTGTTGGGTTTGGTGGGTTTGTTGGGTTTGGTGGTTTGGTGGGTTTGGTGGGTTTGTTGGGTTTGGTGGGTTTGTTGGGTTTGTTGGGTTTGTTGGGTTTGTTTGGTTTGTTTGGTTTGTTGGGTTTGTTGGGTTTGTTGGGTTTGGTGGGTTTGTTGGGTTTGGTGGGTTTGTTTGTTGGGTTTGTTGGGTTTGTTGGGTTTGTTGGGTTTGGTGGGTTTGGTGGGTTTGTTGGGTTTGGTGGGTTTTTTGTTGGGTTTGTTGGGTTTGGTGGGTTTGTTGGGTTTGGTGGTTTGGTGGGTTTGGTGGGTTTGTTGGGTTTGGTGGGTTTGTTGGGTTTGTTGGGTTTGTTGGGTTTGTTTGGTTTGTTTGGTTTGTTGGGTTTGTTGGGTTTGTTGGGTTTGGTGGGTTTGTTGGGTTTGGTGGGTTTGTTTGTTGGGTTTGTTGGGTTTGTTGGGTTTGTTGGGTTTGGTGGGTTTGGTGGGTTTGTTGGGTTTGGTGGGTTTGGTGGGTTTGTTTGTTGGGTTTGTTGGGTTTGGTGGGTTTGTTGGGTTTGTTGGGTTTGTTGGGTTTGTTGGGTTTGGTGGGTTTGTTGGTTTGTTGGGTTTGTTGGGTTTGTTGGGTTTGTTGGGTTTGGTGGGTTTGGTGGGTTTGGTGGGTTTGGTTGGTTTGTTGGGTTTGTTGGGTTTGTTGGGTTTGGTGGGTTTGGTGGGTTTGGTGGGTTTGTTGGGTTTGTTGGGTTTGGTGGGTTTGGTGGGTTTGTTTGTTGGGTTTGTTGGGTTTCGTGGGTTTGTTGGGTTTGTTGGGTTTGTTGGGTTTGGTGGGTTTGTTGGGTTTGTTGGGTTTGTTGGGTTTGTTGGGTTTGTTGGGTTTGTTGGGTTTGTTGGGTTTGGTGGGTTTGGTGGTTTGTTGGGTTTGTTGGGTTTGTTGGGTTTGGTGGGTTTGTTGGGTTTGGTGGGTTTGGTGGGTTTGGTGGGTTTGGTGGGTTTGTTGGGTTTGGTGGGTTTGTTTGTTGGGTTTGGTGGGTTTGTTGGGTTTGTTGGGTTTGTTGGAAAGCCTCACTTGGCTTCTCCTTTTGGTCAGATTCATTGCGAACTGTTAGCACTTGCAAACAAGCCTGACTTCATGAAGTTCCATTATGAGGATACCACGCTCCGAGTTGCTTTGTCCGGGCAGGCTAAAGGACATGCAGGCTGAAGGACATATCGTGGGTCTATCCGGACCCTTGGGGTAGTTCTCCTCAAAACCATTAACACGTACCCTCAAGACTGGGCAGACCTAGTGGTTGGCTCCCAAACTCGATGTTCAGTGAAAGACCTGCTTGGTTTTGCTGGATGGACATGGTTTTAGACAGGTCACTGGTCAAGCTGGCCAGTGTGTCCAAGTAATTTCCTTTTCTGTCAAGGGTTCGTACTCGACAATTGTGGGCGCTTGATGCAAAACAGGGATCAGCTGGCATTTGCGCCATGCCCATAAATTCTATGCCAAAGTAGGCATAGGAATGTCTCACCTTGGTATCGCAGGGAGGTGCGCCCAAAGTTGATCAATAGGGGGTCACCCCCCTGTTACCTTGGGTCAACATTCAGAAAGGGCGTACCACCACAGAGCACCCTTCTCCAAGCATGTTTTTCCTTGGGTCGAAGGGATAGTAACTTGGCCGGTTTGCCACTTCTTCTCCAGTTCGGAATGCGCCTACATATCCTATTCTCACTCAGTTGTCCAAGGCCTATCTTTTTGCGGTGCCCATACAGGAAAGAATCCAAAGGACACCCCTCAAAAAAGACATCCGGGGTTAATTCATCCTCTCCATCAGGAGCTCACTCTCTGACTTTCAGCTTCTTGGGAAGACCATTTTAGTGGTAAACAGCAAAAATCCGACCTTTTGTTTGGCCGCCGATGCACTCCCCAAAGGGTCCAAGTACCTCCTCAGGATGGCTTCTGGGGGGTAAAAAGGGGTCTAAGTACCTCCTACGAAGGTACCAAGGGACCCTTTGGGCTCCAACAAAAGCAATCCGACTGTTTTTGGCCGATGCACTCAGGAAGAGACGGAGGCTTCGAGCCTGAGATCCCTCAGCATTCTGCGGAGCCCTGGCTTGCCTGGGGACGCCTGGTCTCCACTCTGGCAAGCCCTGCCGCGGAGTCTCACGCACCTGGAGCCGACTCGAGTCGCAGCCGGGATTCGCTGAGTCGCCGATTCGCCGAGAAAAACGTGGCTGGAGTTCTAGTTTTTTTGTTTTGTTTTTTTTGTATTACGTTATGGGATTACGCCCACTGGGAAATGTCCCCATTTAGGCATATTTCAGGAAATTCACGTTATTTTGAACGATTTTGGGCCATTTCCCAGGGTGTGATCCCAGGGTGTAACACAGCAACCCTTAGAATAGTGGACTTTTCAATCAGAGCGGTTTTCCCAAACCTTCCTTGCAGTTTCCCTTGATTGTTAACGGGGAGTGAGCCAACCTGCCACCTGCTGGCAGCCCCTGCAGGCGCTTTGAAGGGTCGCCCAGCCAAAATCAGGTGCATGTTGGTTGGTACCAATTTCCGGAGTTGCTTAGATTGCCCGGTCCGTGTTCAAGCCGCCAGTCGTGTTCAGTCCACTCTGCAAGTGCTAGAGAGGACTAAAGCAGACTGATAGGTAGCGCCAAGTGCAGCATCCATAGAGGTCATAGGTGTCCTTTTTAGGCTGGTTAGAAGTAGACGGGTTCCAATTTGCAGAAAGCCAGGGAACAAATCCATCAGCTTGTCCAGTATGGGTCACATATGGCAACATCTGTTTCGCAGTGGGGAACTTGTCATTGTGGGCCCACAGGTGCTAATTCCGTCACGGTGATCGATCAGTGATTGGTGCTCAGACCCTAGTTTGGTGCTGTCCAACTTGTTTTCTGGTGCGAAAAGCTGAAGTCGGAATTGCACCGACCTACGCCGGCTTGGCGAAATATGTGAAGCTGAAAAGTGGAGACGTTGTCCTCTTGCTTGAAATTGAAGAACCTGGCACAGAACAGCGCATCGACCTTTGTGGGCTTGGCTTCAGCAACCTTAACCCGCACAAATTGTGAGAGTGTGCAGGTCTTTGAAGCATGATGTCTGCGTGTCCTGAAGCGCTTCCATTACCAGGTCAGTGTATACTTGCTTGTGGTTCCACTAGCTCGGCGAGAATGTTTCTTGGGCGTGGAGGTTGGAGGCCTGGAGCACAGACAACCCCTTCAGTGAACGGATCTATGGTTGATTTTTATTTTTCTGTATATGCGCTGCTTGTTGGCCATAGCCCGTACTTTGAACACTATCTGAAAATCGTATTTACTATAAGTGCCTAAGTCGTTTGTGCTGGGCTGTGTTGTACTCTACAATCATACGAAGCCATGATCGGAAGAAGCGTGCAATAATTGCGACCCTTGCCTTGCAGTGAACATCTGGCATTGTTTTTGCCCTGCCTGAAAATGGGTTTGGAAAGGGCTCCGAAGCCGAACAGAAGACAACACAACATCGTCACATACTGGGTGTTTCATCCAGGGTCTCCTACCTGACATGACCCTGGACTCCTTAAACACACACTGGCCTGCCTGTCTGCCTGCCTGCCTGCCTGCCTAACTACCTATCGCACCAGCAAGACAATGGGCTTCAGCTCACCCGCCTTTCCCGGGGAGGACCTGTCCCACAACGCCCTGAACGACCACGCCGTCAGCGCGCTCTGCGGGGCGCTGCGGCTGCGAGAGGTGCGGCTGGCACGCCTCGGCTTGCAGGGCAACTCGGGCGAATCGGACGGGGCGAATCGGACGAATCGGGCGAATCGCCATGAGTCGTACTTGGGTCCGTGTTTCTAGGTCCCTCCAGTAGTGCCCTTTTACCAACTTTTTTGGTTGGGAGGCAAGCCCCTACTAAAATAGACTACATAAAAAAGGGTAGCCTTATTCCAACCTCTCTACTGCAGGACCTAGGGTTGTTGAGGATGCCAACCTTTTTGGTGGTTTGACGGGGAAGCCTCAAATTGGGGTGTCTCGTCTTTGTTTGGAAGGTGCCAACTTTTCATGAGATTTTACAGGGAAGCCTCACTTGTCCCAAGCAAATCCACCCACCTGACATGGCCTATTTGTTCCCCCTTGTTGATCTATGTTCAGTCGTTGCCCCTCAGAAAAAAAAAAAACAAACTTTTCTATCTCTGTGTCCTTTGGACAACTGAGAAACCAAAGGAAAGCGGTTGCCTTTTCTTCCTTGTTATTTTTTTTTGGGGGGGGCGTCCCTCAAAAGAAACACACCCATCCCCTGTTAAAACAACTCTAGGTTCTCGCCAGGGTCTGGTTTAAACAGAACCTGCAAGACGGAGGGGGAGGACCCTTTGGTGGGCTCCATAGCAGGGTGTGTGAGAGGATGCCCAGTTGTGCCCAAACAGGTTCCCTTCTTCTACCAGGTTCGCGGGGCATCTAGCTTTTCCAGGCGGTTTCCAGTGCGAGAATGTGCTTGTCGCCTTCTCGGATCTCAAAAGCTTGATCGCTATTCTTTGCCTGAGAAGCCATTGGCTCCCAATTTGGGGGTAAAGTTGTTGTTTAAACTACCTGCATGGAGAAGAAACAGAAGATTAGGCATGGATTCCCTGCCTTACTTGAGGGAGGCCAAGCCAGCTTCAAAAACTGATTATAGAGGCTTCCTGCTGCACCGGGTGATTCCTACTCACTCCTTGAGTTCCTGGGCTGAAAGAACCCGTTGGGAAGACCGTGTCCGTACCAACAATTTGGACAGCTTTCACTCGCAGGACAAGCATGGGTCTCAGAGAATGCGGCACAAACTTTTGTTGAAAAAAAACATAAACTGCCTCCGGGGCATTTGGGCTTCACAGCCCGAGGTCGGTTGAAGGCAACCTTCAGCCTAATTATTGTTGAGTTAATCGTTAAACATGTTATTGAATATATCTATGTATATATATATTGCATTTAACAAGACTTTTAATTCATATGTTATTTTCGTATATTTGAATTTATTAGTGTTACGTATCTATATATATATATATATTGGTTAAAAAAAGACACATTTGTATATACATATTTATAATTTATAATGATATTGAATTGGAAGACTCAACGGATCGTTCCCGAGGCAATCGCTGCAAAGACATCCAGCGCCTGGCGAACTTCTTGGCAGAGGGCGGCGTCGAAGTCTTGGACTTCGCCGACAACGCCCTGAACGACCCGGATTTGGATGCTTCAGAAACCACCCCATGCCTCAACCCAGAGGCTCCCTTGGTACCTTCGGTCCGGAGGCACTTAGGTTTTTTTTCGCCCCCCCAAAAATAGTTCGTCAGGAGGTGCTTGGACGCTCTGGGCAAGATCCCCACCAGGTTCCGTAAAAATGGTTGATCGGGGGGAGATCTCGACGGGAATTTCCTTTTATGGTGCCAATCTCGCTTCATAGGTACCCCCCACCACATTCCCCCTTTGTTGGGCCCTGTTCGTTCACCCCCCCATGGGTTGCTTCCTTTGTCCGGTTCAAACCCACCATGAATTCAAAGGGGGTTAGTGTAGCCGTGCTTCAAGAGGGGAGACAACGACCCTGGATGTCCCTTGGCGGTTCAGCGTTTTGAGACTAGATCTACGCAGTTGGGGCAAGGAAAAAGGCCTTTTTGTGCGCAACCAGCGGGTTGCTTCCTTTCGATTTTGGTGAGGGGCAAACCGACTAAAGCCGACTCGTGACACCCGAGGGTTTGGGGTGCCCTGCTTAAAATGTGGCTGTGCAACCAAAAAACCGGAATACCCAAATGGGTTGCCCGATCGGTAAGTGGAAACATGGTTGCCAAAACCTGCGGTTTGCCCCTCCTGTTTAAAATTTGAGCCACACCCATGTGTGTCATGCATTTGGGTGTCCAAAAATCTTTCAAAAACCAGCTGGTTCAGAAAAGCCCCTGGTGAAGCTGGTTTTATAGCCTGCAAGGAACCCTGCATGGTGGACATAGGGGATCGACTTTTAACAGAAAGTCTGAGAGCGTCCTTTGGAGGCACAAACTGGAACCAGGGTCTCACATGGCGAGACCCAAAAACCGGTTTCACTAGGATGTGTTGAAGGGATTGTGGGCCCATGCCGGGCAACGCGTTGGGGCCGCAATGATCTTAGACGGCTTTCATTAACCACGCAACTACTTTGGTGCATTTTGCTTGGATGTTAGGACTTTAACTTTTTGCCAACTAATTGGTTTTCCATTAAACCACTAAAAGTTAGACTACACGACCGGGTTTTGTAGCTTGGGGCCATGAAACCAGTGTGTGAAGCTTTGGTTTGGCTAGTTGCCTCGAACAGCGCTCTTCAGGCCCACACCACCACAACCACCACCACCACCACCATCATCTGAATGTCGACCTCCAGCTAGCCCCAACTGCATCATAGTCATCAGCATCACCACCTGCATGATTGGGTTTACAGGGGCCCGAACTTGTCCAGGCCCCTAATGCTGACCCCGGATTAATACACCCCCGTTTATTAATTTGGGGGTGGTCCCCTCCAAAAAATATAAATGCTCACTAAAACCAGGGACACCCCCATATTAATAAACAGGGGTTAACAAAAGGGGGTTAACATTATTTAGGCTCATGGCGCAGAGTTTTTTTACACTTGTCGCGTGAGGACAAGAGCATTTGGCAGCTTTGCGAGGTGCTGACGGCCCAGAGTTGCAGGCAGAGCGAGAACCGGGCACATCCGAGTCCACTTCGGTAAATCGTTGCAGATGTCGCATCAGATGTTGGATTTCAGTCGGCGTTTGTGCCCACTTGCATGTTTGTACTTGTCATCTTTTGAAATCGGTTGTTTTTATATTTGAATTTAGATAAGTTACCTGTAGACATTCGGGTAGCTAGAAGTTAGGTGATCAGATCCAAGGCTATGGGGTAAACAGTCTCGTTCCAAGGGAAGCCAGGAGAGTGTTCATTGGCAACCTTCGCCCCCCGTTTTGTTTGGCGTCCCCACTAAAAGTCGGCAACCCCACAAAGAGTTCGCTACTGGGTCACCGAACCATGGTTGTTGTTGGGAAGCATTTTACATGTTTGCTAGTTGTGGTGTAGTGGGAAATCCCCACTGAACTGCTAAAAACTAATTGTTTGCTCCCCTTCCAACGTCAACCAAGGAACAACAAGGGCTAGGATCCGGCCACTTGCATGCAATTCGAAGGAGGGATCCCCGATGCCAAAAGGGAGGGGCGAGGGGCGGACAGGGACAGATCGGGGTCAGTGCAGCGACGTGAAGGCACTTTGGGGTGATTTTCAGGTTGCCCAAATGTTTTTTTTTTGTTGGAGGGTACCCTGGCACAGGCAGTTGGTTGAAAGGGACACCACAAAACCACAGTTTTTTTGGGGGGGTGTCCTCAACAAAGGACAGACCCAAATGGGAAACCGCCGGTTGATTTGATTTTGTCCAACCAGTTCGCATCCTGCATAGCATCCAACAGCCACACATTCGCTTTGTGCGAGACGTTTGGAGCTTGAAGCATCCCGGGTTTGACCTTGGTCACTTCTGGCGTGCTTGTTTAATCAGGGGTGCAACGTGTCCCTTTCATGAGGACCGCATATTCTTGGATGGGCAAGAAAAAGTTCGCTCAGATTCCAAGCTGCCAAGAACAAGTAGGCCATTCTAGTGCAGATTGCCCAAGCCCTCTTTTTCTGTCATTCGCTTCCCTGCTCCTGTACCCCCATTAAAAGAACGGCAAGGGCCCAACTCAGATCATAAGATTCCTGAAAATTATAGATTATGGTGGTTACTTTAAGCCTCTTGGACTTACTGGTGGTAACTGATTCCCAGGGTGCGCCTCTTTTTCGTGCCCAAGTGGCGCTAGCCGCTCGGTGGGCGCCTCGCGTGCGTCGGTGAAACGCCGCGTCAGGCTGCAGGAGCTCTGCCTCAACGACAACCGACGCCTCAGCTCCAAGTCGCTGACGGAGCTCTTCAAGCTGCTGCCAAGGACCTGGGGCCTTTCAAGGCTCCCGCCCCCAGAAACTTCGGCGCATTTTGCCAAGGGATGTTAGGACCTTAACTTTTCGCCAACTAATCGGTTTTCCGTATTAAACCACTATAAACTTTTTAGCAGGGAAAAAAAGAAAGCAACCGAGGGAAGTTTCCCCCTGACCGGGAAACTCTTAGCGAGCCGTGTTTTTTTTGCGGGTAGATGGGTAAAACGTCTCTTCTTCAAGGCTCAGGGGTTTGGGGTTTGCAAAAGGAACCAACAGGAAACCAGCCACTTAGGGCACCCCACGGAAGCAGTCAGCCCATGCTATGACACGAGCTCACCGATGAGCTGGGGTTTAATGAGGGAAAGCCGTGAGAAAGGTCCTTTACTTGGGGATCCAATTCTTAGCTCAGCTATAGTAAAGTGTACAGACTCATGGAAGCTGACCCCAGGGGTTTGGAAGACCACTCGCCTTTTCCTTTAGAGCCTTGCATCTTTGCCCGCTGAAATGATGTCAAGTGATGGTTGGAAAGATTTAGGGTGCAACGTTGAACATCGACCAGGCAAATTTGGTGGTGTATTAGCTGGGCGATCCCGAAAGAGAGTAAATATTTCCCTCGTAACTGCGCCCCCCCCCCTCCACAATCAGGGGTTCATTAATTTGGGATCAACTTTATTGTGGATGGACAACATCCGACAGGTGTTTTGTCCCAGTTTTTGTCAGCTTTCATTCATGCCAACTGGTGCATGATTTCGTCCATCCATCAGCTGACTTAATGGATGTCCTTAATATATGGTTGCTGGATGTACACTTCGATGTCAATCTTGGCATGGAAGAGGGGGCCTGCGTTCAACTTACGCAACATGTTGTAACGAGGTTGAGCTTACAGCTTCACGGGCGATTCAACCGACTATTTTGCCGGCTGCGTTCAGCTTTTTGGGTAAAGCTTGTCTTTGGGTTTCTCCGCCGCGCCCGTTGGTTTTTATCCGTGTGTTTTGATATTTGTGGGCCATAGAAAGCGGCTCAGGGCCTGTCTTGGATCCTTAGGATCAGCCAAAGCTTGTTGTGGTTGTCAGGTCAGATATTGACAGAAGCCAGGTTGCTCAGTTGCACCATCAAAAGCCCGAGCCCTTTCATGATTGGCTTTGGCTGTTGTATTTTAACCGTGTTGAGCTGCTTGGAACGAATGAAGTTGTTCTATCAACATCCGCAGGACCTGACATTCAACCCCCCACAGACTTGCCAAGGCAGTTTCCTTGAGACCAGACTTCTTCATCAAATCATCAAAGGATGAATCACTTCCAAGTTGAATTGTGTAGGTGCTTGGTTTGGGTTGTATTTTGCCTCGTCCAGTTTTGTTTGGATTCCGACTCCTCAAAAAGGTCCCACCTACTCAAAGTTTAGGTGTACAGTTTCTCGATCGTAACAACGCTACAGCCTAAACTCCCTTACCCAGGTGGATCGCACAAAAACAAAAAACTACTCAAAAACCCACCTACAGACACACCACCCCACCACCCCACCACCACCACCCGACCACCCCACCCCCCCCACCCCCACCCCCCCCACCCCCACCACCACCCACCCCCAGCTCAGGACGCCGCTCCGCAGCCTGGCCTTGCGCCGCACCTCCCTTTGTGAAGCTGGGGCCTGGGCCTCGGACGCCCGATTCCTCCAGGTGCAACCACTGCTTTTTTGGGAAGGGTTCCCCTTAAACTCAACCCACCCTGCCAAATAGATTTAATTCATGCTTAGCCCTTCCCCTTAGTGGGACGGCCTGATTTTTGGCTTCCGCCAGGATGTGGGCTCCACTCACTCCCATTGGGGAGGGTGGGGTCTTGAGCAATGTGGCGGATCCAACCAACACAGGATGCCCGTGTTTTCCCATGGACATCCGCTATCTGAGGGTAGGTGGTTCCCCTTGGCTTCCCTTCAAAGCATCCAACAAAGGGTGAGAACCCCCCCATGAGTGCAGGGCAAGCAGCGCCTGTCACTTGTCTATTTAAGACACTGGAGCTGCTTCCCCTGACCCGGCCTGTTTTTCAAGGCCAGAAGGCCCTCAGTGACCCGAGGAAATGCAGCACGCGCTGGAATGCTTTAGTGCTGAGCTTGGGGGCATGTTGAACTATACAGGCAGCCTGGATTGGCCGTTTGGGGACTTGCACCGGGGGGAGGATAAAGTTTTTTTTCTCCGGTGGGCAACCAGCTCCTCAAATATCTTTGGAAGTTATTTACTGTAATCATTACTAGCTTGCTCAACACCTACTCCCCTATGATTAGCGGATTGTGGATTATGCGGTTGACGGGTTAGAAGATGTGGATGATGCGCAATACGGATTAAGGGTGCATGGGTTTTCCATGCTCAAACATGCGGTTTGGACCCACAAATTGCAGCACGGATTACGGATTGTGATCAGGCCCCCAGGAATTCGGAAAGGCTTTTCATTTATATTTATGTGTCCAATACTGGAACCCACCCAACATGGAATGTTTTGATGGCAAACGTGGGACATGTTGTGTGTGTCGGTCATTTGTCCCAAAATGCTTGGCGTGGCCGTACAAGTGCTCACTTGTCCAAAAACTTGGACCTTTCGGGTTCCCTTTTTTGGTCTTCGTTTAGTCATGGCCCCAAAAGCTTGTATAGCATTTTCTTTCGGGGCCCCTTAAAAACCTGCAAGTGGTTAGCATTTTATTTCGGGGCCTTAAGGGGCAGCCAGGCAACCAGGCAGGCAGTCTCCAAGGTGCAGGGCCTACGGCCCCTCAGACTGCAGCACTTGGACCTGGCAGGGCTGAAGCTGTCGCTGGGCTTGGCGCAGGTCCGGATTCGGGTGGGCGGTTCCCGCGGGAGGAAAGGGGCAGGCTGGGGTTTGCTTTGTTTTCCACTTGCTGAAATGAATATGTTATATTTTCCATGGGGGGGGGGGCCATACGCACAAATATATATATATATATAGGTATGTATACTTTGGTGCATTTTGCCAAGGGATGTTAGGACTTGTGATTTTCCCTTGTTGGTTTTAACAGGAATCTATCACTACGGGAAATAATTATTGGGCTCTTATCCAAATGGAAATTGTTTGAAAGCAACATGTCGGTTTGTTTTTTTTGCCGAGAAGCAAGCACAAGCTGTTTGCGTGCTTCTTGGTGTGTGTGTGTGCTTTCTTTTGGTTGGGTGGGTGGGTACAAGTTGTTGTTTGTCTCCTCTTTCGTGGGGAGCAAGCTCACTGAAGATCAGGGCATTGTTTGTGCCCTGAGAACTTTGCAACCCAGAATGAGGATGCCGCGGTACAGGCGCAAGAAATGGCCTCCTGGCCTCCTGGCGGGACCCCAAGTCTACATCAGTGACAGCTTGCAGAAGGCGCTTGACACGGGAGCCCCAGACGAATACACCCGTCCTATGAACAGAACGGGAGGTGTCGGGCCTCACAAAAGCGAAGCATTCCCCTAAACAAGGACACTCTATTGATCAACCGGGATGGTTTATTCATGGTTGTTGGGAAACAAGTTGTGTGTTTTCCATTTTTGCTTGTTGCGGTTTAGTGTTTGAAATCCAACCACTTAACTACGCTAAAAATGTCTAGAATTGTTGCTCCCCTTCCAACGTCCACCAAGTTACTCCTCCGCGGGGTTCACGTTCACATTACCCTCTTTCCCACAATGGCTTAGGCCTTTTCCAAGAGCATCGGAGGATGGCAGTCTTCTCCCATTCCCTCCTGTTCACTTCATTCTTTGAGGTGCTCGAAACTGGCCCAAGTTGGGCCCCTAACTTTGCCATGGCCTTCTTTGGGTTGTGGGCTGGCTGAGCACATATTCTTCGCCACACTCAGGGGAAAAATATCGCACCACATGTGGGTGTGTCTTTTTTGGACCCTTGGGGTTCTCAACAAGAACCGGCCATGGGTCCTTTTTTGAGACCGCTCGCTTCCCATAGCCACGAGAGGACTTGTTGGCTGAAGCGGAGGCTTCATCCTTCATCCAAGGCCGGGGGGAGGGGGGGAGGCAGGGAGCAGGGAGAGCACTGGGCATTTGCGAGTTGCTGAGGTGCTGAACCTGGGACGTTGTGCTAAATGGTCCACAATGCTCAATGAAAACAAAGGCGAATGCGCATGTTGTTTGCAGACCCCATATTTAACACCCGAGATTGTTCGATTGGGAGTTTCCCTCTGGATGTTGTGAACATTTGTCAACGCGGTAGGTAACGCGTTGCGTTGCACCACGCCGGTGCAGATAGAGTTACCAACGCACCGCACGTTAACACCTCACGAGCAGACCCCTAGTGTACAGGCTGGCATGACCTGTGGGGTGATATGGGCGTGACTTTGTTTATGTTTGTTAGGGGACCCCCCCCAAAAAAAAAAGTTTTCCTCCGGGCTTCCCTTTAAAGCCAGCAGGCAGGGGTTATCTCTCTCCAAAACAAGAGACAGACCCAGTTGTTCTACCGGCTGAATTGAGGACACTCACCCCACCCCCCCAAAAAACAAATCGATTGATATTTTTTTTCGAGCCCTGACCTGAGAGAGATCCGATTTCGCCTTTTGCGTCGTGAGTGGCAGCGGTTCCGCATGTGGAGAAGTCCAACATGATGGGCAAAATGGAAATCGTTGGTGCTACAGATTGTTCGCAAGTCACCCTTTGGTTTCAGAGCAAACTTATGTGTTGGCATCTTCATGTTTCTGGGGGGTTTCTGAGAGGGTCTTGGAATCTCGGCGTCGTTCTCCAGGGCTGGCACATGCAGGACTGCGTTGTGAATAGTTTGCCGCCTGCCATAGTGAAATACGTTTCTTTGCTGAGTGTCATGCATGTACACGAACATGAAACTTGGCATGCTTGGAGCTACAAACGCGCTAGTGGATTCACCTTGGACAAAGGTTTGACTTGGGGAGCCAACCCTGCCAATTTACCACTTCACCCCACAAAGTTACGAAGGACCAAAAACAACCAAAACAGGGGTAGCAGCCAAGCTGGCCTGGACATTGATGGTCTGGTTCGCAGCGATTGCAGGCGTAAGGGTTCATCCCCCTCAGGAAAATCACAATATGAAAAACCAAGCCGTACTGCACCAGTTGGTGGGTGGTTTACCCCAGTATTGACACGATCTCATCCATCCATCAGTAGTTTACCACATCCAAAGACAAAGGCTATTTTCCTTGTTTTATCCTCCCCACCGTGGATGCCTTGCGCACTGCCAGGTCTGGTTTTGGATGTGGAGGGCCAGCGCATCTCTTGGCGTCGCTTTCTGGCGACCGAGGCTAAAAGCGCGCTTGCTCTGCTCAATTGGGTATGTCCTAAACGGTTGCTCAGTTGTTCAAAGCCGACCTTTTGACCTTTCGGTCTTCCAATTTTGGTCCATATTTAGTCATGGCCCGAAACGGTTGACCTTTTGGTTCCAGGTCCTTTGGGCAACTGAGGTTACCTTTTATTCCTGGGCCCTTTGGGCGACTGAGTCAAAATTCAATCTTTTGCTGACAGCTTTCAGCTAGGTGCCAAAGGCCCAAGCTACGCTCCAGCCAACTCAGGTTAAGAATGCTTTGGCTCATGTTGGACAGCCCGGTGTTTCAGAGCGCATGCTGGCTTTCCGCCCTTGCTTGCTGGAAGCCAACCATGAGATGATCTGTTCTGTTGGCTTGCAAGGAGTGGCAAGTGTTTTTTGGCTTGATGATGCCGATGGACCAAATCTACTTCGCAGCAGTGGTATGGACGAGCCCACGAAATCCAATTCCGGTTGATCGTTGACAAGCAGTCCAACTGGTGCGACATGGGTGTTTTTCTTTTTGAGGGTACCCTTTGCGGGCTCATTTCAAGGGACACCCAGTAGTGCCTTTTTACCCACTTTTTGGGGGGAGGGTTCCCCTACGAAAATAGACTACGGAAAAAAAGTTGGTACCTCTCTACTGGAGGACCTGGACAAAAGGGACACCCACCTTTCTCCTGGAAGGTCCCCGGTTGTACGACAGCCCGATGGATGCGGGTGACTCCTCGCGCTTTTGGCTCGAATTCAGCTGGGCCTGGAGTCTGGCTGAAGGCCGAGGGATCCGAGGGATCCGAAGGCATGCGTGCCGTAAGCCTAGAGAAAGCGACCCTTTGGTTAGGTGTACGCATGCCCTCATGTTCAATTATGATTTTCTCGTGTATGTGCATATATGGACTTTGGTGCATATTGCCAGAGGATGTTAGGACTGAACAACTTTTTGCCAGCTAAGGGGCTTTCCATTAAACTTAACCACTAAAATTTAACCTTTTAGCAGGGGAGCAGAAAGCAACCGAGTAGAGATCTTCCTTGATGATTCCCCGATTATTGTTCTCTCCGGCAAGTCAGGGAAATGGGCTTGGGGGCATGTGGGTGTGCAACGGCCGAGGTGTCCAACTAGGAGGGGGCCTTTGGCTTTGTGGGTTTGCCCGGTGTTGACCTACGTCTCGGGCGGGCCCACATCTTGGACCGTTCATGGCGTGCTCTTTTTGCATTGGTGGATCGGGCCGTCCTGTTTAAGAAAGGACGGGCACTTTCCCTCAAGTTGAAATTGCCATGTCCACATTGAGTTTGCTTCTGGGCCAAAGCCTCTGTTGAATGGGGTTGGCTTGGAAACAAAAGTGTCCAAAGGAGCTCATTGAAACTTGCACGGTGATTTGAAGTGACCCATTTCTACAGTGGTGCCTTTTCTTTTTTCTCCTTTGTTCAAAGCCAACCTTTTGCCCACTGCCACTGGAGGCGAGCTTAGCATTTGCCCAGACAGACTCCTTCTGCTGCCTGGGGTGCTGCAATCCTGGCATCAATGTGGCACCTTGCTACCTTAGTTGAGGGTCGGAGCTTGGACAGAAACCCAAAGGCTTGGCTTTGGTAGCCAGCACGTCATTTGGGCACGTTCTGCCGAGAAGAGGCAGCAAAAAAGCCCACCTATGATGAATGTCCTTCACTGGATGTCTGATTGCCAGTTTGACGGCTGTGTGTCATGTGTTCGCATCGCAGTCGACCAGCCACCGTGGGAGGACTGATACGTTCAAGCTAGCCATCTCCTGTTGCCAGGGGTCATCAAAGCATATGATAAGAATGACACTGGAATCTCCACAAAAGTCACTGGAAGCTTTCCAGGCCCATTAAACCACTGACCTGCTAACTTTAGTAGCATTGGGACTTTGCTCAAGACACCTTATTGATCATGTTTGTTCAGTCCCTCGATGCTTCCTTCCCCGACACTTCTTCCGCCCAGGGCGGGTGTTTCTCCGTTGTCGTCCAACAAGTCGAAGGGCGCTTTCTTGAAAATATGATTGGGGGAGGGAGTCGAGCCGTGGGGCTCGATTTATGGTAGCCCATTCTCTTTGTGGGGAATTGGGGCCCGGACCCCCACCCCTCACCTCCCCTTCCCGTTAAGGTTAGGGGCAAGGCACAAATTCCCAACCTGCGCTGGCGAGGCCTTGCCGGAAATTCGTGCTGCGGCGATGGCTGAGAAGCGAGAGGCGAACCTGCAAGACAGCACATGCGTTGAAAGGAAAGGCTCCCTTGGAGACCCTCGCGTGATAATGAGGCCGCCTTACCTGTTTTTTTCTCGGTGAACTTCGGTCAGCCACAGCCTGGAACATTGGCATACAGAGTTTTATTGGCAAAGAGGGTCGCTTGGTACTCCGTTGAGGTTTTGGGTATGGTCGAAAGAAAATCGTCAAGTACAAGTTCCCCAAAACATATGACAACTATGAGTTACTGGGAGCCTGTGGTTAAGTGTACGCATACCCTCTTGATGTTCAGCTACGTTTCTATAGTGAATATACTAATGCATATATATGCATATTATATATATATATATATGTATATGTGCGTGTGTTTTGCCGTTTGTATACCCATGGCTATTCGGTTGGATCTTTGGACTGTCTTTTTGGTTTCCATTCGACCCAGACAAAGACACATTTTTTGCAGAGGGGGCAACAGCAACCAAGCAGGCAACAGCAACCAACAATAGGGTCCCCGGGCTTGGTATGGACAACCCGGCTTCCCTCTAATTACCACACCCCAAAGTGCTGAATTGGGGGTCTCATGTGAAGCCCCCATACTCCGCAATGGACTTAGAGTAACATAGCGAAGATCTTGCCACTAGTGGCGTGATCAAGTCGCGTGATTGCAGCCCTTGCAAGCGGTGGCCATATGTTGCCATAGTCTCCGGCTGGTCCAGTTGCTTGCGTTTCTTTCCAGATTTTTGGGAGTTCATGAACTTGCTGGTGCGCAGGGAATGGCCCAGGGGTTTAGGAATGAATCCAGGGATCCCCCAAAAAACAAGCGATGATTGGTAGGGGTCAGTCCATGTCTCATTCCCTGCCAGTCGCATCAGCATTTTTTTGTCCAAACCGGAAATTTGGCATTTGGAGGCAATACCCTTCGTGCACGGAGACGGATGGTTTCCCGTTCGGTTGCTTTCGAGATCGTTTGGTTTTATTTGTGGAACGGAATCCCATCCGGGGGGTAGGTACAAGCGGGCTGGGACTTGGGCAGGCCTCTGCCAAGCTCCTGGCGGCGGAGAGATGCCTCAAGGCACATTTTTTGCTGAACGGCAGTCACGGTGGCTCGCTGTTTTTCTTGACCGGGGCTCCTGCCTGTCTTGGTCTAGGTCCCCCAGCTAGGTGCCCTTTCTCACCCCTTTTCTTGGTTGGGAGGGTTCCCCTAAAATAGATTTCAGAAAAAAGTTGGCACCCTTATTCTAAACTCTCTACTGGAGGACCTAGTTGTTCCGAAGAAGAACCCAGAAGGAAAAGGACACAATGGACAAGGATAGGTTGGCTCGTTTGCTTTTAGCTGCCTCCCCCAAATAAATGGTGAGCGGGGTGTCCTTTTTGTTTTCCTCTTGGAACCATCCAACAAGGGTCCACTAAAAAAGACACACCCAAATGGGAATGTGGTTCTTTTGAAATTACCTTCGCCTTTTGCTTTAAAGGGAAACCGGAAAACAACATTTTGGGGGGGAACCCCTAACAAAAGACACGGCTGAATGTTTGTTCCATCAAACCTAAGGTCCGACCTTTGCTGGTTGAATCGGGAAGAGCTGCCCAGCCTAGTGATTTGCATCCCGTGTTCTCGTGAAATGCGCTTATGAGAGTTCGGCGATGGGCCAGGCGCCATATGGGAACTCTGTTCAGTAGCAAGCCTAGTCAGCTTATCTTGAATTGCTATTAGGTTGGATCTTTAGGCTTTAAACTACTTAGGGAAATCAAGGGTTTTACAGTTTTCCACTGAGCCACCAAAAGTTATTCACTGTTTGCAGAAGGGCTAACAGGAACCCAGTTAGGTGAGGTGATTTTGAGCTGAGCTTCGGCCGGCACTTTGTTTCAACAGGCTTCCAGTTAAGCGTCGCACGAGGCTTGGCCTCGGCTCGAAGCAATCCTGTGGGCTTGGAACGTCCATGTGACGGGGAAGTCAAAGACGGGGAATCAAAGGCGGGATTTCCGGTCGAACCTTAGGTTTAATGGTAACAATCCAAAACACAACATATTGTTACATGTTTTTCCCAAATACCAGAGGCCAGGGTTGCCCCTTCTTCGCTTTCCGAGAGCCCGTGACTCTGGAAGCCTGAAACCGAACGCCTGCGCTGCCTCGGCTTTGGCCATTCTCACTGCGCAGAAGCGACGTCTGAGTGTGGCGTTTATTTGTTGCGGGTACTCCCCATTTTTGTGGTCTAGATTCGAAACAAACCAGTTCGTGTTTTTGTGTTCTTTCTTTTTGGGGGGGAACCTCAAAAAGAGACACCCCCAAATCTGCGTTACTTCTTCTTGTCCGGGAATACAAATGATACAGATCCCCCAAGAAAAAAAGGTAAGCGCTTCACTTGGTTTTCTGGTGCTTGGGTCACGCAAGCGTTCGCTTCGCGCGGCGGTTCTGCCAGTCCGCTCGCTTGTCCAGGTTGGCAAAGCAGAGGAGAGTTTGAAGGCGGGGGAGAGCCATGTGCACGCGCCATGATCGCAACAACCCGAACATACGGGAACTCTGAATGAACTTCCATTTGGTTAAGACAATATGTCACTTTGCCCTGTTGGTTGGTTTTAATGAAAGGGACACTAACACTACCTGTATTTGTTCAGGGGGCTTGAGCAAATTGAGGTTAACGTTGAGGTTCATCGCTAAACCCCTGGTTGATCAATAGTGGGGGTGTCGCCTCTGAGTGGGGGTTTATGACGTTTGGAGGGGCAGCGCGGGCTATGGAGCTTGCTTGCTTGGCCATGGCGTTGGTTGATTTAGGACTTTGGGCAATGGAGCAATTACAGCGTCATTGTCGGAAGAAAAGGCAGGTACGGATCACAGATCCCGGTTACATTTTACAGGATATTGACCACTTAGATTCGTGTTTATTCGCATTCAGCCATAAAAGCATCACAAAACAGGTTGACTAAATTTGTTTTTCTTCTTTTTCTCTGAGTGGTCAGCACTGCATCTTATGCTTGCAGATCTTGTCACAGAGATCCTGAAAGGTGCGTCCATGATTCCTTACCGGACTCCATGGAGTAAGACGCAAGTCCATCTACCAATTTGCCCAAGCGAGTATTGATCTTAGAAGCTTTCGGTTTCCTGATTTGGTCCGCTAGTGAGGTTCTAAAAGGCTAGAGTGTGATTTCCAGCTCCAAACTGGGCAAGTGAGAAGGGCAAGCCACCATGGCATTTCCCTCTGCCCACATCTACTTCTAAGTGTGCCACCTACCACCCTAGGTCCCCCAGTAGTGCCCTTTTACCCTTTTTTGGGTGAGGTTTCCCCCACTAAACTAGACTACAGAAAAAAAGTCGGTACCCTGATTCTAGCCTCTCTACTGGAGGACCTAGTCCCCCTGCCCGCATCTACTTCCATGCCATCCACCAACTCGCCCAACTGGGGTGAGCCAACCCGCATGCAACGGTCGATCTCTGGAGGAGTCCACAGCCGCAGGGGCCACAGTGTGCCAGCGCAAATGGGACAGTTTGTTTAGTTCTGTTCATTTTGTTTTTTTTGGCAATGGGCTGCAAAAGCGAAGTTGTTTGCTTGCATGCCAATGGTTGGAAAGGTATAGTGAAGTATAGGCGGGCGGATGAGACACATGCAAAGCTCGAGCAGCGCTTGAGGCTCTGGAGATTTTCCGCTCCCTCGGTGCGGATGGTGAGCCCAGAGCCCAGCCATCGCCTCCACTTTGTGTAATTGCACGGCCCAAAGTCACCTCTTTCATGGGATGCCAAAGATGTGGGAAACCATGAGAAGGTTGGTTTAACAATAGTGGTTGAAACATGTTCAAGCAACTTGCTGGTTCGACAGGCAGGGCATGACTTGGAATGACCCATATAAACCATACCCTATCCCCTATGGCTTCCTGTACGGGAACCCCCTTGCGTTTCATTCCCAAAACCATGCGGTTGGCCGGCCAATCAAGCAAGCAACCAACCAACGAACCAATGTATGAGTTGCCCTTCCACATCGGCGCTTGTTCAGCCCAGGAGTGCTTTGCCAGATGTGTTTCGGCTGATCATCGATGGCAAGCGCCAGGCAGGGAGCGTCAAGTCGCGATGGGCTTTTCTCCCGTGCAGATAGTATTGCACGAGGGGCCATTTTTTGTTGCCTCCACACCAACATTGTTCTATCTGCAGAATTAATGTTTTTGTTTTTTTGGGGGGTGGTCCTTCATTGTTGAGTGCCATGTTAGTTCGTTATTAGGCGCATGTGCCACACGCCATTTGAATCCAGCAGAAGCCATGCTGAAAGAGACGTGGACCCCTTGCGACATGTGGCGATTCTTTTTGGAAAGCGAGGAGGGGAGCAGAAATCAAGCAGGCGCTTTGTTTGCTACCCCGCACTGAACGACAGAGGGATGGGCCGCGAGTTTTTGCCCCAGAGACGGAATTTGTAACTCGTAGACAGTGACAAGAGGGAACTGAAACGGTGTCCATCCCGGGCAAGACGGAAGTCTTGCGCGCTGTGTTGCCGCTCGACTTGACGCGTGCTGTTGGTTCAAGATTTGGTCCGTCCCCAAATCCAAGCGACGCTCGCATCAGCATTCGGACCTTCAGATCTTCAATTTGGGCCGAACTGTCACACGAAAGCATATACAGGCGTTCGCAAGACACACGCCACAAAGAAGTGTTTCCAGCACTTGTTGTTGTGTTTTTTTTTTCAGGCAACCCTTATTTGGTGGGTGCAGATTTGACGCCCTGGTTCTAGCGGAAACTCCCTCCCTCTCTGACCGCCATCGATTAGAGATTGGAGGGAAGCGGATCCTTTGTCTAGGTCCCCCAGTGCTCCTACTAGACAAACCCGAAAAAATGGGCACCTTATTCGAACCTCTCAAATCTGGAGGGTGTGGACAAGTGTTCCAAACCTTACTAAGCCTTACTAAAATAGACTACAGAAAAGAAGTTCGTACCCTTATTCTAACCTCTCAAATCTGGAGGACTTAGTTGTTTGTTTCCCGGCAGCTGGCTGGACGCGGCCAGGTGGACCTCCCTGCAGCAGAGCAGTTTGCAGAGACGGAGAAGAGCAACTTCGCAAAGGCGCCGAATGAGTACCCAGAAAGCAAACATGGAACCTGAACAGAGGCCAGTTCAAAAGGAGAAGTGTTGGAAGGTCTTTCAGGTTCCAGGGCCATGAAGGGTCGATATTTGTTTCTGGGAGGGTAGTGACATTATTCAGGATTTCTGTCCGCCAACCACGCACGAAATATCCTCGAAGAAGCTGCCGTGCTTGCTTGGACCAGGACCACTGGAGGACTGGGAGATAGCAACCAGAAGGGAATCAAAAGGGGCATGGGTAATTAATTTGATTGTTACATATCTTTATTTAGCACCTGGGCACCTTAACAAACATCGAGGTGCACAGACCCTTTGCGGAAGCCTACTTTTAGGCAAAAATCTACTTGCAAAGTCAGCTGCACGCGGACGTCAACTCCACTTGGCGGATGTGTGTTGAATCCCTACCAACGGGCTCCACTATATTCCATTTGTTTAAGCTTCCATTTCCAACCCCGGGTTCATCGGATGTGGCCGGTCGCGCCTGAGCGCGCGCGAAAGCACGCGTGCCCGATTCCCTGGTTGTTGTTGTCCTATTCTGAGGCTGGCAGATTGCCAGTGGTTGCAGAACATCCCTCTGTTGGACAACATTGGAGCCAGTTGTAACCTGAGGAAGTCTCAATTGGTAATCCCAGGGTCACTGGAATTCCCCAGGTTGTGGTCTTACTGGTGGTTTCCATGGAAACTGCCACTTTTGG